CTTAGCTAGGTGAAATATATCAGGATTTTGCAGAGCTGCTATAGCAGGTCATTTGTTGGCTGAGAGTGTCAGCAGAATAAAAGGACTCTGTTCAAAGTATATGCAAATAATTAACTCGGGGAGGTCTGCTTTTAGTACAGAATCTCAGAGAAATCATGTTTCCAGAAGTATGACAGAAGTCCTAGTGTTAAATACAAAAACAGAAAGACATTGTATCTCAGAATTTACCCTGCATATCAGCAGCTATTCTTAACAATGGACTCTGTTTTGAACATTTTTTTTTTTTTTTTTTTAACCAGAGCAGGGATTTTTTTTGGTCTCATTTGTATGAAAACAGATTCTAGCCTATAGCCAAGATCTTGGCATGTGGCAGCTTGGAAATTGAAATTTTGCATGGTCACCAGATCAGCCCAAATTCCGTTCCACTGCAGTACATTGTGTAAGTAATAGGAGAAGTGAGGGAAATAATGCAATACTGAAAATATCATACATCCACAAGAAACAGAAGTTTCAGCTCAGAGACAGAAACACACAATTTCTTCTCAACAATCAAACTAGTGTACCAGGTGAAAATACAATCTTCAAATATTGTTGACTTTTCTAGAGAGGCCTGTATTTTAAAGGAAGTGGCAACAGGAAGTGATAATATATATATTATTGATGTGATATAGATATAGATTTACGCAGTATGTTTTATACCAGGGTGCACCCAGAAAATATTAGCAAACTTTACTTAAAAAACCTGACGATCGGGGATCTGTGGCGGCAGGCCCAAGGCTCACATGGACCCACAATGGCGTCCCTTGCGGGAGACTGCTCCGACTTTTATGACGACCTGTCTTGTGACACTGAACTGAGCACCACGCCCACTCCGATTCCGCATCCGACGCACCAACCTGAACCCCTGCAGACAAAGCCAGACTCCGCGCCAATGACTACGGGGATCCTGAGAGACATACTAGCGCAGGGGTTCTCATCCCAGTCCTCAAGGACCCCCTACCAGTCCAGGATTTAGGGCTTACCTGGGTGTGTCTGAGGTTTTATAAACACTTTAGACACAGGTAATTCTGGACTGGTAGGGGGTCATTGAGGACTGGGTTGAGAACCCCTGTACGGATCACCATGGGAAGATCTCGACGGACATGGCGGTGCTGTGAGAAGACCTGCGGGGTCTAATGTACAGAATAAGCAAGCTTGAGCATACCTCCTACACGGGTACTCAGCAAATCACTTCACTCCAGCAGGCGGTGAAGGAATTTCAGCAGCAGCAAAAATCCTTTTTGGACCACCTGGCGGCCCAAGAAGACACAAAGCAGCGAAACAATGTCAAACTACGGGGTGTCTCAGAGACCATATCGGACACGGATTTGACACAGTTTGTCATGCACCTTTTTGGCGGCCGTACCGAAGCCGAGAACCATCAACACAGCGGTGCTTACCGGCCTCCAGAGATATAATAATCCAGTTCCAAACCAGGAAAGACAAAACGGCGATAATGACCACCAACAAAGGTCAGTCCCTCTACCACTTTCATTAAATGGACTTAACTTTCTACTCAGACCTCTCTGGCAGCACTCTGGCATTGAGACACTCTTTTCAGCCACTCACCACTTTCCTGTAACACCATCACATTCAATATCGATGGCGCTCCTCCAGAGCAATAGCAGTCTTCCACAGGGACACAACATACATGCTTCAGGAACCTCACGAGAGCAAGATGCTGCTGCAAGATTTATGACAACCAGCCGACTCTCTACACCAACCTGATCGAGCTGCAACCCCGAAGCAACAACATCTGTGGAACCTGGAGGGAGCCCCCGAGTTTGCCCCAAGAACATCCACACCAGACTCTTATGTGTTAGCCACAACCTAAATGATGAACGGCAGAAGCGACATCTAGTCTGCCATTTAGTTTAATTTAATTTAGTTTACTTTATGTTTCTCTCAGTTCATTTAACCAGCATTGTCAGCTTACAGCAAAGTAGGCCTAACTACACACCAGGTCATTAATCCATGTCCTAATCAGACTTGTTATTCCCAAACCATGTACTCCCTTCCCCTCCACCCCCCAACACCCAAGGATACCACGGGTGAGGGATACACTACGCTAGTGGTTTTGAAAGGGCAGAGCGCAGGGTACTCACGCAAGCATTAAGAACACCCCGCTAGTCGGGCACTCTTACACTCCCCACAAGAGTTCACTCCAGCAGAGGTTTAAGGGCATTCGCCCATGTACATCCTGTAAACAAACTGACATAGAGAACAGTGCCACGGTTGCGTCATACACCAGAGTGTTTGACTGTGCCCCTCCTTTTTTCATGTCTCATGGTATTTCCTGTGTAGCACTGTCTGGAAGTTATTACCAACTCCCAACTGCATATTCCTGCTAGTGTACCTGTGACGAGACCAATCTCGCCACATTGCATTGGAGAAGCCTGGTTGCTCGCCTGCTGCCTTTGGACTATGGCCCCCTTTTAAAAGACTTTATTTTTGCCTGCAGAAAAGCTGTATTCGTGCTTTTCTGCCTGGGGTTCGTAGATTTGTTTGAATGTGTTATACCCCAGATAGGAATCCCATGGAGCCCATTCGTATGAAACTGACTGTAAAGACTTTAGCTCCATGGCGATTAAACTGTATTTGTGTGGTCTGAGCGCCATTCACTTAATAATGTGCGCTCGGACCTGAGCTATCTGGGGATATGTTACATGTCTGTGTTTTATGTAATAAATGTGACTTTATGTATTTTAAAGTGTTTTGTGTCTCTTTGCAACCATGTGCTTAATGGAGTCTTGTGTCTGTCCTGGGAGATAATTGAATTACTTATCTCCAGGATAGAAGACTCTGAAACTGGTTTGGGCCAGAAAGCCATGCTTCATTTAGTCACAAAGGACTTTTTACTAACTTTTGAACCCCTTGTCTGATTTGTGCCATTTTTGAATATGTTGTTCCCCTGAATGGATTGATTGAGAATATGTAATTTTATGTGAATGTGTTGTATGGTTTTGGAGTTATGAAAGTTGGGTAGAAAGTATGTTTTAACTGTTTGTATAATTGAGTTTCCTCTCAGGATAAGGGGAGGGAATATGTGGGATGTAACTGTGATGTGATTGGTTGTTTTATCCCTCCCTGTGGGTGGTCCTGTATTTGAAACACTGTAATAAAACCAGGCTGGGTGTGCCAGCACCTCAGACCACTGCTTGACCCTCAACACGGAGCCTTGTCTCGTCTTTGGGGGGATTTACTGTATGCTGCTAAGGACTGATTGCCAGGAGTGTAAGCCGCTTGGAAGCTTTTCCTGTTCGTCTGGTAGCAGCAATTCGTATGGTTCCTGTTCGTGTATTTGGAGTGCTACCTTATTCCCTTGTATGCCGTTCGGGAGTTTGGAGCATTCACTTGTATGCTGTTCGAGTGTTTGGAGCATTCCCTTGTATGCTGTTCGAGTGTTTGGAGCATTCCCTTGTATGCTGTTCGGGAGTTTGGAGCATTCCCTTGTATGCAGTTCGTGGGTTTTGGTGATTCTACAGTAGCTGTGCCTGTCTCTGAAAGGGGATTATCGTCTAAGCGGTTTTTACCCCTTTTGTGCAAAACGGTCCGTTACAATTGGTGGCAGCGGTGGGATCGTTCCTACAGCCAGAAGGACAGCTACAGGAGACACCATTTCTTTGGATTTTACAATTTGAGGGCAACGCATGTCCCAGTACAGCGACCCTGACAGCACCAGCATGGAACCAGCAGTGGAGTATGACGAGGGTGCCATGGATGACCGAGATGCAGTCCGTAAAGGCATCTGGTACCGGGCACTGGGTATTGTGGAGTACCAGCGGGGCAAGAGACTCCCCAAGGAAGACCAGCGGTTGCAGAAGCGAGTAGCCCTGCGGATGCCCTTCCTGGGAGAACAGCCCCTGGATGAATGGGTGAAGGAATTGGAGCACCGGGTATGGCAGGAGATTTGGCTGGAAGATGCCTACCAGGCGCTCTGGTGGTATGGGGCACAGTACCTACCCTGGACAGCCGAGCATGACAAGCCAGAGGGAGAGGAGTTTGATGGTCCTGGCTTGTTATGGGAATCATTTTCAGAGCTCGAATTTGGGAGCCCTACACAAGCCCGGTTCAGTGATCTCTTGGAGTGGAGGGAGAGCAGGTATGACTGGGACGACACTCACGAAATTGAGCAAGACCTGGTCCACCTGGTAACCCAGGAGATGGAGCTAGAACAGGGCTACCAGCAGCTGTTCCAATACAGTGAGAAGGCGCAGCGGGAGAGCAGCATGACAGACCCAGAGCCAGACCCATTCAGAGGGGACGAGATGGTACAGTTTTACTGGGAAGAACCCCAGGTGGCCGGTAGAGATGGGACCGAGGTCTCTCCACCGGTCCTGCAGGGAATTGGGAGCCCAGTCTCCATTCCCCTGCGGCAGTGTAAAGTGCAGGGAGAGGAGAGCAGTATCCTCCCTCCCCAGCGGCAGGCTGAGTTACAGGGGGCAGAGGTAGTTGTTCCTGCCCCCAGCAGCAGAGTGATATGCCGGGAAGGCAGTGTAAAGTGCAGGGAGAGGAGAACAGCGTCCTCCCTCCCCAGCGGCAGGCTGAGATACAGGGGGCAGAGGTAGTTGTTCCTGCCCCCCAGCAGCCAAGTGATATGCCGGGAAGGCAGTGTAAAGTCCAGGGAGAGGAGAGCAGTGTCCTCCCTCCCCAGCGGCAGCGTGATTTTTTGGGAATTGGGAGCCCAGTCTCCATTCCCCAGCGGCAGTATGATGTTTTGGGAATTGGGAGCCCAGTCTCCATTCCCCAGCGGCAGCACAGATTATTGGGAATTGGGAGCCCCGTCTCCATTCCCCAGCGGCAGAGTGTCCTACCGGGAATAGAGAGCCCAGTCTCCTTTCCCCAGCAGCAGGACTCTGTATTGGGAGCAGAGACAGTCGGTCTCCCTTCCCCGCAGCTGGAAGTATGTATGAGAGAGGAGCATGTTACCCCCTCTCCCCAGCGGCAGCTTAATGTATCAGGGGGAGACAGTAAGCCCCACAACTGTGCAGATGGGACCGTAGTCTCTACACTGCCAGCACAGGGGGTAGGGACGGTCGGTTCTGCCCCCCAGCGACAGGGCTGTTTAGCCAAAGGGGAGACAGTCGGTCTCCAGCAGCAGGACTGTGCATCTAAAGGGGAGACAGTCAGTCTCCAGCAGCAGAGCGGTGTATTTAAAGGGGAGACAGTCGGTCTCCCCCTCCAACAACCAGGCTTCAACCAGGCTATCCTCCCAGTAGCGCTGGCAACAGGGCAGAGTGCCGCTGGTCTCTGCCCACGCAGCAACCCACCAAGTCAGCGTACCCGTACCCAGCCCAGCCGTGGTGAGGCACCTGGACATGGACAAGCTTCTCCTTTAACCAGGTGTAGTAACCATTTATTGTGGGTGGGCTGTGCTGTTGATTATTTGTTGTGGGTGGGCTGCTGGACTAACAAGGGCACTGACCGGCAGGAGGTCAGATACCCTGTTAGTTTGTTTGGAAAAGGGGAGAGATGTGACGAGACCAATCTCGCCACATTGCATTGGAGAAGCCTGGTTGCTCGCCTGCTGCCTTTGGACTATGGCCCCCTTTTAAAAGACTTTATTTTTGCCTGCAGAAAAGCTGTATTCGTGCTTTTCTGCCTGGGGTTCGGTAGATTTGTTTGAATGTGTTATACCCCAGATAGGAATCCCATGGAGCCCATTCGTATGAAACTGACTGTAAAGACTTTAGCTCCATGGCGATTAAACTGTATTCGTGTGGTCTGAGCGCCATTCACTTAATAATGTGCGCTCGGACCTGAGCTATCTGGGGATATGTTACATGTCTGTGTTTTATGTAATAAATGTGACTTTATGTATTTTAAAGTGTTTTGTGTCTCTTTGCAACCATGTGCTTAATGGAGTCTTGTGTCTGTCCTGGGAGATAATTGAATTACTTATCTCCAGGATAGAAGACTCTGAAACTGGTTTGGGCCAGAAAGCCATGCTTCATTTAGTCACAAAGGACTTTTTACTAACTTTTGAACCCCTTGTCTGATTTGTGCCATTTTTGAATATGTTGTTCCCCTGAATGGATTGATTGAGAATATGTAATTTTATGTGAATGTGATGTATGGTTTTGGAGTTATGAAAGTTGGGTAGAAAGTATGTTTTAACTGTTTGTATAATTGAGTTTCCTCTCAGGATAAGGGGAGGGAATATGTGGGATGTAACTGTGATATGATTGGTTGTTTTATCCCTCCCTGTGGGTGGTCCTGTATTTGAAACACTGTAATAAAAACCAGGCTGGGTGTGCCAGCACCTCAGACCACTGCTTGACCCTCAACACGGAGCCTTGTCTCGTTCTTGGGGGGATTTACTGTATGCTGCTAAGGACTGATTGCCAGGAGTGTAAGCCGCTTGGAAGCTTTTCCTGTTCGCCTGCTAGCAGCTATTCGTATGGTTCCTGTTCGTTTATTTGAAGTGCTACCTTATTCCCTTGTATGCCGTTCGGGAGTTTGGAGCATTCACTTGTATGCAGTTCGAGTGTTTGGACCATTCCCTTGTATGCAGTTCGAGTGTTTGGACCATTCCCTTGTATGCAGTTCGAGTGTTTGGAGCATTCCCTTGTATGCCGTTCGGGAGTTTGGAGCATTCACTTGTATTCAGTTCATGAGTTTTGGTGATTCTACAGTAGCTGTGCCTGTCTCTGAAAGGGGGATTATCGTCTAAGCGGTTTTTTCCCCTTTTGTGCAAAACGGTCCGTTACAGTACCATTAACTTGGTGCCCCACGCACCAAACCTGATGGCTTATCTACCAAGCGTACCATACATCTGACTCCATACACTCCAAAAAAAATGTACACTGATGTACTATTACCATATGTTGTCCTAACAAGTTGATATAACCAGCGCGTTCCTGCTGAAGTGGCGACACACGCTCGCTCGTTATCCTTTTGTTATCTTATTTTATCTTATTGTGTTTTACGCTTTATGTTTTATTTCGTGTATTGCTGTTGCCAAGTATAACAATACAAAACCTAAACCACTTACAAATTCAGCTCACACAGGCGGCTTGACGATTGTACTAATCCATTACTCTCCTATTGACAGGCCGTACCTGTACTCTACTACTTAAATACGATAGGTGTAAAACTACAGTAAACAAATGGCCTCCTGTCCTAGTCTTATCACCCTCATTGGGAATTGGCTGACTTACCCACAAATCTTGCAAGAGGAGCTTATTTGACTCACTGTTATTGGCCATATATTTTTCATTGTGCAGATGTTTTGCTCTCCCCTGTATAACAGCTTTTCTTATAGTTGGCCCCCAGTGGTATTATATGAGCTGAACTAGATGTTTAAATATCACAATTTAGCAGTTGCTGTGACACAGGCTGTCTCTACTTTCTTGCTCATTGTCATACCGAGCAGTATTTGTTTTCTATGTTTTATGTATTTTAGTCCCTACTCAGTGGCAAAATGGTATGTTGTTTTTGTGTTTTTGCCCTATTTACCTATACAAGGAGTAACCTTGACCAGTAGCTACACATGCTGTGGCCTAACATTAATAACCCTACTTACCTAACATGCTTCCCATTTGAAAAACGATGTATGTGCAAATTGCCTGAATGTTTCACTGTTTATCTACAATCCTATGCCAACATATAAGTCAATCAGAAGCTGATTATACCTGTGAAGCATACTATTATTAACATATTATATTATTATCCTATTTTAAATACCAAAAATGCCAGTTTACATACCATTTATTACTACTCATACATGCTCATCTTCTGGCATGACTTGCATTACCCTGTTTACTTATTTAAAAATTGTGCAGTTCAATCCTATGTCATGATACTGCATGCCTTGATTTGCCTGTTACTGCTATTGTGGCACTGCAGGCCTGTCTGTAAACCTTTTTGCACACAAAATTAAAGAATAAATAAAAAAAAACACTAATATAGAAATGTGCTGTAAACATAACCAGTATTATCCAGGAATCAAGCAAAATGGTTTGCCCCCTTACTGGGGAATAGGGCCAGAGTATTCTTGGCATCATAACCAATGCAACTTGCAGTAGTAGTTATGATTAGTGATGTCCCGAACGGTTCGCCGAACGGTTCATGAACGGTTCGCCACGAACGGTTCGCCACGGACTCATCATTGAGTAAACTTTGACCCTGTACCTCACAGTCAGCAGACACATTCCAGCCAATCAGCAGCAGACCCTCCCTCCCAGACCCTCCCACCTCCTGGACAGCATCCATTTTACATTCATTGTGAAGCTGCATTCTTAGTGAGCTGTCCAGGAGGTGGGAGGGTCTGGGAGGGATGGTCTGCTGCTGATTGGCTGGAATGTGTCTGCTGACTGTGAGGTACAGGGTCAAAGTTTACTCAATGATGAGTCCGCGGCGAACCGTTCGTGGCGAACCGTTCGGAGAACCGTTCGGGACATCACTAGTTATGATACCCAGGGTGACCCTTTAAGTAAAAGTATTTCAAGTCTAAGTAAAGTAGTCTCTCAAGTTACTTTATATGAATTTACTAACATGGGCAATAAATATGATTATGTTTTACTTGTTAAAGATATCTGTGAGCATATTACTTTTTTTTATTATTTTTATTTTAATTCTTTATTTTTATTGTGCATGAGATAGCATATCAGTTGGCGGTGCCACAACAGCATGGTACACATCCAGTAACACAGGTTTTTCACATTGATGGCACTGATATATGAGCACATTTTTTATATTTGTGTGATGGTAGTCAAGCCAAGTACATGCATCTAATGGTAAATCATCAGAGTGGCAAGCAGTAACCTCGGTATGCTCATCGTAGTGTGCGGTGTGAGAGTGACTGTTACAAAGGACTCGAAATGACTCCATTATTGTTATTACATGTTGTTACTGTTGCAGCCCTATACTTTTAACACGGGGAAACACAAATGGATTATACGGATTCTTATAAAGACCCACGATACGAACGAGAGACCCCCCAAACGCTGGCGTGTGCTGCCAATTAACCTCTTCACCCCGCAAAGTACCGATTAGCCGACCACCCGAAGAGCGGAGTGTGGCGCCCATTAACCACCCAGGCGGCTGCGGTCTGCGGTTAACCACAAACTAATTGACGGGCAAGGAGGATCGACGTTCGCCCACAAATCACCGAAGGGGAACTACCGAATAACCTCACGAACGGAGACCCCCTACAGTGGGTCGTGTGTCAGCAATTAGCCTGTGGTTTCTGTGGTTAACCGCAACTCAAGTACCGTGCTACCAGGTGGTCCTAATTCATGTACCGAACGAGTTCCACTACCAGACAGACAGCGGGGATTCGCATGAACTTATACCCGAGTTCAGTTCCATAAGTTGGAGGCGAGGTCCCGCTGCTCGTTAAACCGTCTAAAAACATGGCCGCCATCAGGGACTCACCATCCAAAATACCGAACGGACTTTAAACGGCAGAAATAGATCATTCTGTTCGTGGGATTGGAGCGCCATTCGTATGTTTAATGTACCCGAACGCGAGCTATTGAATGAATGGTAGAATGAACCGTTTTCCCCTATTAATGTTGAAGTTATGTAATTTTATACAGTTTTATGGGGCATAATAAAACGTGGTCTTTTGTGCGCTTGGAGATAATTAGATTGTATAACCGTTATCTCCAAGCTGGGCGGGTACTAATTCAAACGATACACTGTACTGTGATTGGTTACCTGTTTGTACTGTACCTGTATTCCATCAGGTCCACAGGGGGCTGTCCTTGGACCTGAGGAATTGCATAAATTGCCATGTTCATGTGCCAGTAAAATCAGTTCGTTTTGACCCTCAACATGCAGCCTCGACTCATGTTGTAGGGATCCGGGATATTAATGCTTATATCGTGTTTGGGATACTCTACACTTGCAGCTTATTACCGAAGGAACTCCGTTCGACTCTCCACAGCGGGAACCAGGACATCCAAGCGATCAACCCCCCTGCTAGATCATGGGCAATCGTAACAATTGGTGGCAGCGGTGGGATCATCCTGGAATTCCTGAGAGAGATATAGGACGGATGGAGAGCAACTACGATAAGTTGAAACGTACCACGCTAAAGGATTTACTTGAGAGCCGAGGGGGAAACGCAAGTAACCGGCCAAGGAGAGAGTTGATTGCCGACCTAAACGAGTTGGATCAAAGCTTCACCATGGCAGAACCAACGGTATCCCCCAGAGACGAAAAGACAAGGATTATCCGGGAAAGACTTACTCTATACGGGCCGAACCCCTCCGTGGAGCTGGTGCAGCAACTGATGGCAGAGGCCGAGGCGTACATACAACGGGCTAGAACCCACAAACTCAACATGGTGACCGCACAGCAGGGAGCCGCCGCTAATGGCCACAACG